TGGAAAAGCGCGTTCAAGGCAGGGAACGGATTAACGAGGGGGTGTTTGTTACGCACGCAACCCGACTGATCCCTGGAGTCACTGCACAGAAATGAATAAATTACGCAAAGGAAGAATTGGTCCACTCTTTCGTAAACGTCTCCCTGTGGTAGTGGTTATTTGTTGATAAAAGCGTCAGCAAGAACTACTGAAACATGAGGCATTTTTTCAACTGATACTCCATCATTTGTAATTTAAAACACTGAGAAAATAAAGTGCAACACCCATTTCAGTTTAAAAATCTAATTTATTGCAGATGGCTGCAACCAATATACCAAGCAGGGGTATAAAAGAACATCCTTGAGGTAAAATAAATCCCATTCTGTACCCGCTAACAAGAATATAGTTAAAAACATCTTGTTACAGAAGTTACTTATTATTATTTACTGACTAAACTACATCCACATTAAGGTGCTGAAATGCTAGACACTCAATCTAGAGTTACCCGAAACTTGTAAGGCCTTGTGCAATATTATACTGACTTCCTAAAGCAGCGAGTGCCCTTCCTCCTGTGCTCTCTCACAGTACGTCAGGGAGCTGGTTAAGAGTTTACATGCATGTGTATTCTGAAAGTGCTGTACCGCAGGAGATCCAGCTCCATAGCCTTCTAAAATTAGCATATTAAAAAATTGTAATACTAAGATTTCATCATTTGTCTTTAGAATCACAGAGCATTAAGACACTAAGGCCCCCCTAACTTAAATCTGCAAAAGTATCAAATCTTTTGGTGGTAAGCAGAAGCAAAGAAAGGTAAGCTAAGAAGTTCCCTCTGGATTTTATTTGAATTAAAGAGGTAGCAGCTCCAGTTTGGAAAGGCTGAGTTCCTGTGATTTCCATCTCCTTACACCTTGAAACCAGAAAGGCTAGACCGATGCTCTCAAACCCTATTACTGTTAATGGCACAAACTACCACAGGACATACAGACCATCCACTTGTTTCCACAGCGTATTATCCAGCGGTCTCAAGCCACATCAGCTGGGGAGCACAAAACCAAACTCGGGTGACAAAGCTGCAGCTCCATTATCAAACGTATTTTCCTTTTAACAACCTGAGTGCTCTCACTCAGTTAGAAATGCTTTCCATGTTGTTTCATTCAAAGGGGAGGATTTGAACTGTAAGCACATAGCCTTTCACTATTCACGTCAACTGGAATTGCACTGCACGTATGTAATATATGATAAAGAATAACAAATCCAAGGACAAGCAGTATGGTAACACTCCCACTCGCTCCTGACCTAAAAGCATCCTCAGATTGCATTTGTCTAGTTCCGACTGTCGGTGAAAAATTAAAGGCTTTGCCTCAGTTCATCCTGCTGCTCAGGGTTCACTTGGGACATCCTGACGTAGCCTGAAGCTACACAAAGCTCTGGAGGGTATCACTGAGGTGGTCCTGACAAATTCTCCCTGCTCCTTTCTTGTGCATTTTGCTCAGGGCTGGCTATAATTAATTATAAAAGAAGTATGAACATACATGAAGTGGTTACATTAATGTTTTAAGTGCTCTTCCACATATATTTCCCATATCTATATCTATATCTATATCTATATAAAAAACACAAAGATAGAATATGCCCCCTTTATCCTCCAAAGAGTATTTTAACATAAATACAAATGCGTAGCTATTAAAAACTTTAAATCTACTATCAATATAAATACAATCATATTTCAAAAGTTAAAAAAGTATTTTGAAGACCTATTTAAAACAAAGTACTACAACAACAAATAACTTATCATTACAATCATTATCAAATAACTTATCATTAGAATCAAAAGAAAATTATTAAAGCAGAAGAATTCCCCATTAATGTAAAAGATCAGTAGCTGTCATATGTAATGGATACCCACCAGAAAGGATACACTTGCTGCTGAAACAGAGCATTAATTTAGGAAGGAAGAGCATTTCCTGGTTAATCAGTCAGAAAATTAGCTCATCTTTCCTATAGCTGCTCTCTCGAAACCCCTGACCCATTCAGACCTAGAATCTTGTGACTTTCCTATGCTTTTGTTTCATACACAATTCCCAGTAAAGGGCCACAGTATGACGTCAAGCAAAGACAGCAAGAGCACCAAACACCATCTATGCCAAGTATACTGTAGCTTCCAACAACGTTCAATAAAAAGACTCTAAATACAGTACTAAAACTAATTTGCTTCCCAGTAACAAAGTTTGGAGAAAGTTTTTAACGCTTCCTGTTTACAAAAAGTTCAGGCTTTCCATATCTAAATAATACAAGCAGCTAAGTAATTACTTCATATTAAATACTCTGACCACTAGATGCTTTATAACTTGACAGGTAGAAAACGTAATGGAAGAAGTATAAAAAATGGAGCACTAATACCCTATAAAGTTAAAATTAAAGCAAAAAAAAGAGGTTTTTTTTTTTTTTCGTTTTAAAAACACAGTTGAAATGATCCAAAGTTGTGCGCCGAGCACTGCCGCTGGAGTCTGACAAGGGAACCCAGCTGGCAGCTGCTGCACATTTTCACATACTTGTCACCCACTTCTCACTCTCTTGTTTCTTCCTCCGGGAAGTACCCCTTCTTGCAAGCTACATCCACCACCAGATGGAGATCTAGGAAGAAAAGGGAATACTGAGTAACTCCCGGTCCTTGTATATGTTTCACTTGGCAGCACGCATAGCAATTGTGCTCCTATCAGGTACTGTAAAATATGGCCTGAAAGGCAGACGATAACTTGAGAATTTGAGGTCTATTCTTTAAAAGAACAGGAGTTATTCTAGTTTTGCGAAACTTTAAATATAAAACAACAAAACAAATTATAAGATAAGGGCTCCCATTCTTCCAGATATATTCTTTATGTGTGCACTCACTACCATGGATATCCAACTGCCAAATGTTAATTACTATAAAATCCTGGCAGGATCTACAGAAATGCCCATCCTGCTTGTGACATAGGCTTCATTTATCCATAAAAGGCACAATTGCCTCAAAGCACACCACAGCTGGTGCCCAGATCCTAGAGAAAACTCATGGTGTCACAGACAGGACAAACAACAAACTCCTTTTTTTGAAAATTACCTTAATCCATGGCAAAATGGAGATATTTTCATTGTACGGCCAGATCTTGCAGGTCAAGAAAGTGAACAAGTACCCTGATAAAGTCACAACAGCACTACCACTGCAAACGTCACCCCTGTGAACTTCAATCCGTAAACTGACACGTTGACATCTTAGGAAAAGAAATCCAGCCTTTGTTCTTTTTCTATACTACAAAGTTCCTGCCCAATAGGCACCAGTTCTGCCCTTTCTGACATATGTCTCCTGCCAAAGCAGACTCTGTTGGGAACAAATCTTGAAAATACACAGGGATACAGAAATAAGGGGCTAAGAACAATGCAACTCTGAATTGTGTAAAGTTAGGAGACAGCATCTAACATTCACTCATCCAAAATAGCAGACTGCCAAGACAGGTAATTTGAAAGTCCTTCACTGAATATATAATAAAGTAAAGGTAATGGCAACTGAGCTGGAGCAAAAAGGTGCAGTTCAAACTCCTGAGAGCAACTTCATTTTGGGCTTCAGGCAGGAGACATTGAAGAGTTCAGGGGCAGGCCTGTCCCCACATTAACTCTTAACAACTTTGTAGAAGATCTCACTGTGACCCATTAGGAACACTAATGAACAAAACGAAAATACTTTTGTCTGGAAGGTGTAGGAAATAGTTCAAGTGAATGCACAGGAGACCTTGCCTGAATGAAGATTTGCCCTTAGCAATTGCACTTATAAATCTATTACCTTGCAGTGAATGAGAGGGAATGCATAGTGACACAACTGTAGTGGCATGGGAGTGGGTAGTAGATGTCTAGGGCACCTTGCAGCATGATAATGATGGACTCATACGAGTCAGTAGCATCTTGGTATTATGTCTGTTTTCTTGTAGCAAAAAAAAAATAGAGGAAGTTGACAGATTATTTGAAGGATTAGACGACTCACAAAAAACATAAGGCTATCCACTGAGAAAGCAAGCTTTTTCTTTAGTGTGTCAGTATCAGCTTAAATGCTTAAAGTAACAAGTTACACCTGCTGCACTCTGAGATCCCTATTTCCAGAAAGAAAGGCTGCAAACAAAATTTTCTCCAATCAGTATCTGGTCCCTCTTATGTAGTCTATTAGAAAAGGAAGCACAAACCACAGGTATTAGGTCCAAGTACAGCTATATTCACTAGCTGAGTGTACTTGTGGAGTACAATGCAGAGGAGATGGAGAGGATATGTGAAGAATTTACAGAGTTCCTATCAATCACTTGTGAAGTCCAAAAGGACTCCTGTTGCAAGTGTGGATGCTGCCAACATAAGCAGACAGATTTATTCCAAAAAGCCCATTTTATAGATGAGCTCAACTAGAAAGTAGCAGAGAAAGAAGATGCATCATCAGCACCTTCAAATCTCTGTCCTAAGAGCAGGCATTGGGCTGAAAAAAGAAATCCCTGAAAGGTGAACTATCCCTCACACCTCAATGTGACAAACATGCCAGGAACAAGACAGGCATATCCACTGTCTCTCAAGACAGAGAGTGGGAAGGGAACAGATGACACAGCCCATACTCGTTTGTAATGATGTATCTTAGTGCTGAATTCGGTTTTGCACCCACTGTTGCAGCCTCTGACTCCCAGGGGGGTCTCACAAATAGTTCTTCTTCTCCTGCTGCTACTAAAGAAAATGGGGTCCCTCTGCCAAATTGTCAGGTATAAAGACAATTAGTGCATGAGGAGTAAAGATATGGTTAAAGCAAACACTTGCATTCAAAGCAAAGAAAGAGGAGGGTTCTTCACCCACTGTGTTAATATTAATGTTAACTTCACCCATCTGTGTTAATGACATTAACTTACAAAAAAACAGTGGATGCTAAATGTTTGCATGGCTTCAAAAAGTGACTAGAAAAATTAGGTGGAAAAAAGTTTACTGAGGCCTTTTCTACTTAATAGCACGAAATGCCAAAGATGCTGTTGGAGACTGGACAATGCACTACAGAGACCTTTCATCTTGACCCCTATTGGCAGGATGTTCTTAAAACTCGTAACTAGAATTTAGCTGAGAAAGTTGGTTAAGTATATTGTTTTTCATTTGAAGAAGACAGATAACCTACTTCAGTGATTTATGATGCTGCAGAGATGGGCTGACAGCTATGGAGGGAAATCCTGGGGACTGCATTTTAGTAAGACGACAGCTGTCTCTCCTGCTGCAGGATAGCTGCACAAAGGCAAACAAATCTGGTCTAGTTCTTCAAAGGAAAGTAATGCCTTCCCCACAAGGGAGGGTTTGATTCTTGGCTCATTTGTACAGATTATCACCTGGGTTTTTGCCCAGAGCTGCTCCCAGTCACAGAAGGGACTTTTCCTTCTGTCTTCATTGGAGTGGCCTTTTGTACCACACTGCGTTGGCTCTCGCTGTGTGATATCTGGAAATTGGTGTCACCACAAAACAAAGAAAAGCAAATCATGTCAGCAGCCTGCTGAAACAGGTGGAACAAAAGCCTTCCCTATAGCAGGATAGGTATCAAAGTGCGGGCTCAGAAAACTTGAAAACGAGTGCCCAAAGGAAAAGGGGAAGACGGACAGGAGCCAATCGCTTTCCGAGGATAAGTTGTGAAGTAACACCTGGAAATTTTCATTTTAGCATAGAAGATTAAGGAAGAAGTTGTTTCCAAAGACTCACAGGTACTGTGAGTACAGGAGGTACTGGCAGAAAAACATATAGTCAGAGCAACAAAATCAGCGTATATTTAAACCTGTTTGCTTCAGGCTTGCAGTTGGAATGCAGGAGATGGGCTATGCCAGCTTCGAGGCTTCTATCATGTGCCCATTTTATTTTGGGCCAACTTGAGGCTGATCACGTTTGGCGCAGGTGTGCTCCCTGTCTCTGAGCTTTACATGTACATCAAGCCTAAAAGGTACAACAGTGGGAATGCAGACCTGGATGACTGTCACATTTCCCAGAGAGTAGACTCTATGCTAATTGTTGCTAATTAGCATTAGTGTAACACTCGTTTCATCTCTGTGGAACAATCCCATGGAAATGCTTTCCAAAACTTTCCTGTACGTAACTTTACGACTGGCATATTAAGCAAATGTTTTGCTTTAGATATGAAAGCTGAGAAGTTTTCTAATTATCCATGATACCAGGAAGTAATTGAACAAGAACTCTCAATTCTGTGTTTTAAACAAAAGCCTGTCTTCTTTCAAGATGGCAGCCAACCTTTATTCTCAGCTTCCTGACAAAAAGGCTTTATTCCTTACTTAAATGTTTGAAACTTATGGGTGTTATGAGCTGAATTATTAACTAGCATCATTATCTGCAATCTAGAAACTACCCTTTGAAGTGAGCAACAGATCTTCAAACTCTGCAATCAGCTCTTTGATGAGCAGCTGTGAGGGAAATAGCTTCTTGCGAGACTTGCAGGCTGCACCAACTTTTCCTCTAGAATGGATCCAAAGTACTCTGTGTCCTCTTATGTCTCTCTAACCTGTGGACCTGTAGGTTTTTCCTTTAGCTACTAGATTTGTGAATTGTTTGGCCTCAGATATTCTGCTACTTGTTTTTGTCAGGTATTTTAGCACACATATCAGCAAACTGGTACAAAATTTAATTAGTCATCTGTGACAAAAGGTTTGGACTTCTACACTAACTTCATCAGTTTGGTGGGTTTTTTCCCCTGTTACTTCACTAGTCATCTCGTTACTCAATGTTTCCTTCATAGCACTGTCACCCTCCAGCAAACCTATGGACTTCATCTCAGTATTGTGACATCCAGGTTTCTGACACAACTCACAGAACTTCAGGTTTTATTTACTGATTTATAGCCTTTTCCACATAAGAGTAATTAGCATAAGCATATCTGTAGAAGCATGTTGGTAACTATACTAAGAGGTTGTACAAGTATTATATTTTAACCGAAGGCACAATGAAGTACTTACACTGCAGATATTAACTATTCTGATCTCCTCTTTCTGTAATAGTTTCAGAATAGCTGCCTTGGTAATCTCTAAAAAAAAAGTAGAATCTCTTCTTACCAGGGGACTTGCCCTTGTGCGAGCTGTGTCTTCTTTTCCTGCATCTAGGTTTTACAGATGAATCTGCCTCTTCTACAGACTTGTTCACAGGCTCAGTTCCTGAAGTGAATGGTCTCTCTTCTGTCTCTGACATGCTGTATTCACATTTAACACTAGTATTCTCCTTAAAAACAAAACAAAACAAAACAAAACAAAACAAAACAAAACAACAACCAAACAAAAAAAAAAAAACCAAAGATCACTCAATATTTTCTTGTAATCACTTTAGGGACAAAATAATAATTATTCTTCTCCACTCCAAAAGGACATCTAACAAGTGTTGAACACTGCCTTATGTAACTCAGAATTTTTAACTCAGAATTAAGGTTGCCAAATTGAAACTCAAGCTCTTACAAAATGTCATATTAAGCAAAACATGAAGTCAGAAAACTAGGATATACAAAGTTAGGGTACATGTCCTCACAGTCTGAGCTTTGCCCTTAGTTATCAAACTAGCTATAAGAAATAAGCTAGAAGAAATCCAGGTGCACTCATTGTTACCAACACGTGTATTAGTCATGACAGATCTAGCTCACACAATCTGACAGAGCTGTGTGATGCAAAACTACACATGCGAGCCACACATTTCTGGTTGGGAATCTCACCCCACCCAATTGTTAAGACATTAAATTATAACGTGTTGCTTGCTTTTTGGAGCCCTCTGCTGCTGCTCCATATGTATTTTGCAGGCAACCATTTACTGAACTGGTGTATTTCCGTGACCATGTGGCAAAAATCTGTAGAGTTAAAAAAAAAAAAAAAAAGCCAAACAACCAAGTTATGTTTCTGTTCCACTGTGGAAGTAAAAGCCCAAAATTAAGCACTTGGGGTTTACCTTTAGAGAGAAAGACATTCTCAGTATCACCTGGTCTAGAATATTAATCTCTTCTGCAAGTATCAATCAATACCGTAAAGATGCATGATTGTTCAGAGCCTACAATGTTTCCTTCTATTAAGGAAAAAAAAGCTTTTGAAAACTGGTATGTGTGAGTTTACAGAACACAAAAGGTCATCACACTTGGTAGTAACGTTTAGTAATCCCAAAAAGCACACTCTCCAACTTGAGTCTGTTGTTACTCAACGTTAAATATAGAAAAGGCAATGTCTATGCATATCAACAGAAATACATATATATCCTTTGACAAAGTTGTATAATGATATTCAAAAAGGCCTGTGTGAATACAGTAACTGAGTACTCCAGGGAGAGCCAGTTCCCCCAGCATGCCTCCTGCACTTGCTAGATACCCACTTTGCTGTAGTATTTGTTCTTTGAAGTGTGTTGTCTGTATGTATTGCATTACCACTGTTAACAAGACCATGTGAAAACCATTTGGCTAGCAATGCCTTTTGTCTAACATCTGAACCACAACTCCTTCCTAGGCATAAAAACAAAGAGAAGGAAGGAGGACTGTAGTTCACTACCTTCACCAGCTAGAATCCAAATTTCATGACCGATGCTCTAAACCTCTCCATTCCTAGTGACATTCACATAATAGTAAGTTCTGGAAAAATGAGTAAGCAGCCTTAACCAACTAGTGAGAGCAAGCATCTCAATTTGGATACTTCCAGGACAACTGTTCCAGAAACAATTCTACAAATTTCATTATTTAAAAAAAAGAAAAATAGATACCCTATGAATGGAAGAGCAACATCAGACAGAGGATGTAGAAATCAAACTGTATTGTTTGATAAACAAAAAACAAATGTATATTCAGATAACCATGATTAAGAAATTATTACTAGCCCACATGCTGAAAGACATCTAGAAACTCTGACTAGCAGCTCTTCTACAAAAGACCTGGGGATGCTGCAGTGATCAGCGTGGCTAACGACACCTTGGGCAGCACAGGAACATGCATGACCAGCAAACTGAGGGAATTTCATTTTCCCCTCACTGGTGAACCCATACTTGCAATGCTGTGTCCAATTTTAAGCCTTACAGTTGTGTGTGTGTAAACCGAAGAGCAATAATACCGTACAGTATCCCTTTCAGACTCCTTTTTATCACTGTGTTTATAGGATCTTACACATTGACTCTTTAGTAATCTAAAAAAACTGGCAATAATAAGATTTGCATCCTAATAGCATCAGCCTAGCCCACACAAATCTGTTCCCAAGTTATCTGTTTCTTCTATTGTTTGTTTTTTTAAGTGAACGGGCTTCTGACCATGGATTTACCACATCTGTGGACAGACTCTTCACTCAGGCCTAGCACTCCTGCGATTTCAGAGTCCCAAATGTTGTTTGGCAGAGAGTCAAAGCAAGTTACCAAAGCGGATGGATGTGCAAATTTTGTCTTTTCACTTCAATTATTGAAAAATCTGCTGCATCTCACTGGTTACATGACTTAGGAGGCAGCGACTGGACTATATCTATACCCAGGTGGAACCCTGACGAGAAGCTAAGGTACTAAAAATGAACAACTCACATGAATGGGGTTTGCTGGATTAACCTTCACCAAAGAAAGCAAGAGTTTCAACCTTCAGATAGGTAAACTGCCAAGGACACTGAACGAAATAGGAGGCAAATTCCTCTTGGTCAAGCATTACAGAAATACTGTATTTCCACTTTAAGAAGAAAATAAAGTATTTCTTATGAGTAGAAGTAGAATAAAATATACCCATTAAAAGGCCAAAACCTGTAAAATTCTAGGACAGGAATTCACTGAGGCTAAGAGGAAAACCCTGGATCTGAGCTACTGAATGTACTCTTTTCATGTAAAGAATTGCTCTTTAATTTGCCATCTTTTAGGAAATCGGGAAAACAGAATAAAGCAAATTAAACTGTTAGTTCTGTGAGGAGGACAGTTTAAGGCTCAATAGCTGTCACAAGAGCAAGTAAATACTGTGAAGGAAATAAAGAACAAAACAGCAAACATCATTGTGCCACTGTAAAAACAGAGTTTGCCCACAACTTGAATGCTCTTCATTTCAAAAAAGGATGCAGTAGAAATGGAAAAAGTTGAGAACAAACCCAAAGTTAACCAGAGGTGTGGAGCAGCTGCTGTGCAGAGGAAACTGCAGAAGGACTGCACAGTTGGGGGAAAAAGACTACTGAGGAGGCTGCAAGAAGAGATCTGTAAAATTACAAGTGATGTGCGGTAAGCGACCAGGGGTGACAGTGGAAGTCTCTTCTGAGACAGAAACCAGGAAGCATCATCACATGAAGCCAGTAACAGCCATGCTCCAAAGGAAGCTCTTTGTGCAATAGACGGTGAGCAAAGTATCTGTTTGGTCAAAGGATACTGTATGCTAAAATTGACATGGTTGCAAGGGCTGGCTTCAGTCCACAGAAGGGAAATTAAGATTAAATATATGGTATCATGCCAAGTCCTCAAGTTGAAAGCAGTTGAAAGTATAAGGAGGAATGCCCTGTTCTATTTGCATGCCTTGTCCTTGCTCTTCCCGGTGCATCAGATTACAGCTATTGTCCTGAGACTTGACACTGGGCAAGACGGACCTTTGATCTGACCAGCAAGGCTGTTTTGATGTTCTTGTATTAACACTGGAGGAATTTGCTCTTTCTGGGCTGCTACGCAGAAGAATAAAACTGTCTTCTGTGTGAGGCCACTATTCTGTTGTAAGCTTGCTCTGAATTACATGGCACTGACAGCTGCTGAAAGGCTCGGAAGGCTTCCAGGTTCAGGGATAAGGAAGAGAGCAAACCATGTAGGAGCCTGATGGGAGTACAAGCGCAGAAGCCTTCTCTGGAGAGTTCTGCACCCTCCATGATCCCAGGATCTGGAAACACCACTAGACAAGAGGCAGCTGGGGGGTTACGTTAGCCTTGCCTCTCCTGAGTTTGGGAAGAGGCAGCTAGTAAGAGAAAGTATTTCTAACAAAAAGAGAGAATCCGTCAAACAAAAGGCCTAATAGTCCCTGCATTTCCCTCCAACACAGAATAAGCCCATTATTTAACCCGTTAACATCCAGATCTGACAAGATCAATGTCAGGATTCTCACCACTTACACAAGTAATGGGGCCTCAAAACCAAAACACCTCTCCCCCAACTCCTCCACAGTTCACACATTAATCCCTCAGTTCTTAACAAGGGAATCTGGACCACAAACTCCGATGGCCTTCAACAATGGGAAAATACTCACTGCTCAAAACACACTTCAAAAGTTGTCAAAACTGACAATGTTTAATGTGTAGTCAGCACTTAAGATAATGAGTGGACACTCATTAAGGGGTACTGCCAACTCTGTAGACACTAGCTTCTCTACACAGTACTGAGCAGAACAGTCTAGTCTAGGCTCGAGCTTTGCAGAGACTTGATCAGAATATACACCTCTTTATAGAAAGATACCCAAGAGGAAGATGACTAAGAACAATCAAGTTTGCACCAGCTGAGAATTTCCAAGCTATAAACTTTACTGAAGGCATCAAGATATTGATAGCACAACAGAACAGCAGCTTCAACACACACACAAAACCTAAAATTTTTAGTGCCTACATGCAAGGCAGGTTTCATGTGGCAGAAACAGATTCAGCCAATCTCTTGCTTTTACTTTGTTTTCAAAACAAAAAAAAGTAGAGCATGAATTTGCTGCCTTAACAGAGTCACATCCAGAATGACCCTCACTGCACCTGAGACTTACAATTTTGTACAAAGGGAAGACCAGGCACAGGTAAACCTGTGCGACCAGAACTTATCGGACACCACAAAGCATAAACAAATGAAGATGCTTTATACCATTCAAATATCAATAAATTATAGTTTCCACAGAAAACAGAAACTTAATAACTGTTTATCAGAAACAATCTGACTATTTATGCAAATTTTAAACAAAAATCTTTGCCTTCCGTGGCAATTCTCAAAATACTTTTACTTAAGATTAAAAATAGTATGTTATAACCTAAAAAAGCTTCCACTTCATCACCATGAATACGTCTGCACAATGTATTTTTTCCATGCAAATGAGCACCCTAACTTGGCCAACACAGACTAACACATCTCATGCTCATTAACATGGGGTACTTTGTCATTCCCTCTTCTTTTTTAAATTTTGCTTTACCAAGCAACCCCTTCACTGTCCATTGAAAGCTTAATTAAATAAACGTTTAGTTCTTAAGCAGGCAAGAATATTAAAAAGCTATCAGTCCACACCCAGCATTACTATTGAATACAATTATCTCAAAAAAGATGTTCTTTTATCTCCCTTTACCCCTTACCTGCCCTGGACTGAGTGGTTCTTCCTGAACAAACATTACGGAGGATTGAGTCAGGCAGTGCTCTGGTTGTTCTCTCAGTTTTTCGTATGTTTCCTGTGTGGTCACAGATTCTTGCACTGTTTCAGCAGCAGCAATTTCTACGGATGCAGTGATATGGGTAGCACACAGAAATTCAGAAGGCTGTGATGGAGAAAAAGTTACTGATGGATTTTCTCCCGTCACAAATGATGTGTCTGAAGCTACAGGAGTAAGAGATTCCAGTTGGCTTTCCTCAGTTGAAGAAGGTGTATCACTGTTCTCACTATTAACCAGCAGTGGTTGACCTCCGTTAGACTGCGGGGTTGAACACTGGCTCTCCACAGGTTCCACTTTCACTATTTCCACTTTGGGTGATGAATGCATCTCATCAACCATCTGAAACACAGCTTCAAGATTTACTTCTGTTTTCTTGTCTTCATCAGACATATTACAAGGCCAGTTAGAGGGCAGAAATTCAGCTGCATAAGGTGACTGCATTGGAGGACTCTGAAAGAAACAAAATACAGTGAATTTTTTATATCAAAAAATTACAGTGACAGGATGTGTATTGGTTCATTGGAAATGAACCTGAGCAATCAACTGAAGTGTTCGTTTATCCAAAAGCTTGAAAGATTGTCTGTTATTTTCAGATAAAACAGCAGGTTTTATTAAGAAAAAGGCTACTACTATGTCTTGTTTTTCATTAACCACCTGACTCTTGGCACCTGCTTGAGAAAGTAAAGGTACTTAGCTGTAGCTGGGTACTCCTTCAGATGCACAGTCTGCACGCCCTTTGCACTGCAGGTATAAATATACCCAAGCATTCAGACCAGAGACTTCTAGTATTAGTAAGACCTGTGGGGGTACATTAGAACCACCCCCTTCACATGCCACAGATGTCATAGAAAACGACAGAGCGAATCTACCTGCCTTCAGTTCTTCTAAAACTCAAGCATTTCTGTTGTGTATAAAACAGCACAAACCACAAGACTTTTAAGCAAGAGAAAAAGGTAGTATGCTGTAAATGTGAATATGGACAGCACAACTTGAGGAACTCACAGTTACTTAGCAGTAACATCTTTTTCCTCTTCAAGTGATTGCCCATATACGCATCCACACAAGGGGTGATTCCCAGGGATGGTCCAGTCCCAAAATGAAAGGGAGATCAGCTACCTATGAAAACAAATACTGTAGAACAGCCCTGTCTGTCACAGCCTCACATCTGGACACTCCTGCCACGAGACAGTGTCCCATAAATGCACGACTCAAAGTCTACATAAAGCTGTATAAAAGCCCTATAGATCTTCAGGTCATAAACACTTCTTGGAGAACCTGCAGAGGCTGCCTTTGCCATCACAGAGCAGGCCTGAACGCTACTAAAATATTTCACTGTAGTGACACCACAAGATGACAGGAAATAGTCAGCAATCCAATGATATTTTTTTTAGTAAAATTCATCTAAAGCAAAGAACATTTAAAGCAGAAAGAAGACAATGAAGAGCTTTTCAAAAGCATAAAGTCCTACCCAAGTGAACTGATAAATCACATTTTAACAGCCGGTGTCTGTACTGCTATTTCTTCTGGAGATGACTCAGAGTTAAAGGACACTGGGAGGGTAATTTCTTCTGACAAATATGAGTCATATAATGATGCTGAACAGGAACTCAGGTATACTTAAAATACAATCTTATTTTGGAAGAGATCTAGTATGAAGGATTAGTTCTTAGAGCCTGATTATCCTCAGACCTTCTAGCTGAGGTAATGGTTAATAAAAAGCTACTTCCATAGATGAATAAATTAGAGAACAGGAAGCCACAGGATCACCTACTAGGAAAGCCATATCAGATCAAATGCCAGTGAAGAATTTGGTCTCTCAGCAGCATGAACATCAGAAGTCTCTAAAGGAAATACCACAAAGAGATGAGATCCCTTCCTCTGGGTGTATGAAGCCAAGTCCTTTTGTGGATTCATGTAGATGTGCCAAGTCTGTAGATAGCCATAACTTTAGAGGGTGTGGGGGAAAGGAGGGGAAAATAAAACCTGGAATTTGAGAAATTTAGGTTAAGCAAAGTATTTTCATTAAAGGCAAGCCACCTTTATATTTTTATGATATAGGTTTAAACATAGTTCCTTTCATTTAACATTTTTTCAGTTGTATTTTTTAAAATATTAACAAGGTGTTTCACTTTTGTTGCATTGCTTGTCTATTGTCTTAAGTAGCCAGGATTTTAAGCAAGATCTGGGTTACCAAGTCAACTGTCCAGGGATGAGCTCATCCCTACCAAAAACAAAAAACCCCAACCTACCAACAAGCCAACCCTCACTGCCACGTCTTCTGCCTCTTCTTAGGGGACCTTGGCTTGAAGCTGTTATAACACATATCACCTTCTTGGATGCTACAGGATCTCATACATATTTCCAATATGAGAAAGTGCCCACACAAAGACAGAATTTAAATCCTTTCAGTTTATCTAGAGAAGATATGGCAGACAAGGATGGGAGGGAGGCAGCAATGAAACAACGAAAAGTGAGAAAAGATAGGGAAGTCAGGACTCAAAAGACTAATAGTTTGATGGTCATTTGAGCATAAGGAAAAATGGTCTAATTTACGAAAAGTGGTGAAAGGGAAGATGGGCATTTCGCTTACAAGATTAGCATAGTGCACACAGGAAGTAAAGCACAACCACACCTTGTCAGGGACTCCTAGGACTAAAACAATCTGGCTTGAGTGCTTGGGCAATCATTCAGAAGTAGTTCAGATTCACTTTCATTTTGAAATAACATGGCTGATTATCATTCTTATTACAAATAAAAGCAAACTACTTAGAACTGCTTTTAAGAGCAGGAAAGTTTTTCTTTTTTCTCACACATTTATATCTTCCATTTCCAGTTACCTCTTTCTTCAGTTCCACAGGGAAATACTGACAGCTTAATAACAACATTAATAGCAACAACCAAATAGCAGGGCTGCTAGTTAAAAAAACAAAAAGAAGAAAGGAAAAAACAAATCACTAAAATCCAATACGTAGCTTCAGTTCACACCTATGGTACAGTAGCAGGGAAATACTGCACTAATGGTCGCCAGAACTCCTGTTGCAGAAGACAGCAGGAGTTTTCTCTCACAAGACTCATTCCTACCCAAGGATACTGATTCATCACACTGATCCACACCCCACTTCAGGAGAACCCAAAGGAAAAAGAGTATGAAGCTGCACCTCAGCTCCCAGTTTTATTACCAGTTGTGATGAGAGAGTAATACAAATTTCTGAAACCTTGATTTCAGAAACCTGACAAGAGATAGACCCTAATCAGCCACTAGGTCTGGGTATAACCATCTATAGCCCCTTGCCGTTCCATGCGGTAATTCTCTGTAGCTTTTTCTGGAGAGCAAACCGCAGGCAGACACAGACATTTACTTACTGGCCTTGTCTGCCCAGTCAGGGTCACTTAACAGTTTCAGCAGGTCAGGTGTGTACTGTACAAGCCCAGCAGCTGGCCTCCAAGCCCCAGATAAGCTGTCTTAATCTTAAAAATTAATTGAAGTCATGCTTTCTGCAAGACTTAGTAAGGACCAGCATAAGGTTTAGGCTTTCTTGTCCAACAGTGACTGTTTTTCCTTCTGAGACCACAAAGCACTGCCTGGATCCAACAGAAACTGGGCTGGTAATACAGCTCGCTGTCTTCTGGATTGGTCCAGCAGTTTTGTACAGTCTTTGCCAGTAGTATCTGGTAGGTCACAGCATGATCAAAACAGCCTAAAATTCCCTGCAAACCACCCTTCAACAGCATTGCACTGAATTCCTGCAACTGGTAGAAGATATTGAGTAGAACGATACAATGCAACAGTTCTAATTTTTATGAAGAATGATAAAAATACTTAGTCAGCCAGGGTTGATTAATTTTACTGCTTTTGAGGATTTGTGCAAGTGGTTACTGATGATCAATACACAAGCAGGGAGGGATGATCAATACTGTAGCTGGCTGCATCCCTCAGCAGAAGTTTGGGGAAGTATCTACCCCAGAGCACACAAAAGGTAAACTGATTATTCCCCAAGCTCAGTGAGAACCACAGGCACACCACTGTCTTCTGCAGCATCTGCACAGCTCCTGTCACCAAGTTCCAGGAGAAATGATCTAGGCTACACCAAGACTCAGAAATCTCAGGAAGTCCTGTTGATCCATCTCTATGCTGTTTGTGCTACCTTGCTGAGAGACAGTTACTGACCCAGTAGAATTGATTTACACTCCTGCTTGCCTTTGGGGTGCTCACAGAGAGGATTATCTTCCAGCACTCTCTGCCCAGATGCACCAGCAGCTTTTGACTGGGAGTTTCCTGGTTAGAGTTGTATTATCAAAGCATCCACTAGCAAGTGGCCTAAAACTCTTTTGACTCCACATGCTGCCCATGGACTTGCTTCTCCAAACAACTGATTTTTCCTAGACCCTTTGGACAGCGTATTTATATTATCTTTCAACCTAGCCACACCACCACTCCTGATGACTCCTTTGGAATGATTTGCTATCACAAACATTCATCTCAGCCTTCTGAGAGAAGAAATTATTTGACTGTGACTTTCCATCACTCAGACTGATCCTCATGTCCTGGACAAAAAGAAACTCATGATGAAAGTGAGAGGACAAAGATGCACTGTGTGAAAAACAAATACTAGAGTATCAATGGCATGATTGACCAGTGGCTATTTATATCCTTACACCAACATGTTATCCTGGCCGTAACCTGGCCGTAACCTGGCCATCTTGAATAAGCTTATATAAAAAAAAAAAAAAAAAAAAAAAGAATGAAAGACAAAGGTTGGTATTTGCAAGACAGGAAACTGGATGATCAAGCTTGGGTAGGTGAACCCTTTTTCAACATACATAAGCATAACTTGCTTTGCTTGTCCTCTGTGAGGGGAAAAAAAAGTATATTCATTATGCTTAGATGGAAAAGGAAGCCCTTGCATTTTTACTTCAGCTCTTTTGATATTTGATAAGCCAGGCCCTCCAAATAAGGTGCAGTTTCCACTGGAACTGTATAAAGCACTTAGAGTAAGTACTGTAGTTATCTTTAATAAGACATCTCTGAGGTGGGGCTGATTCCAAAAGTCACTTTCGTTTTTCTCATTCATCAAATGAAACTCAGAACTGCAGAAAGCTGTCTGGGACAAAAGGAGTGGAGCTGTTTTGCAGTATTTTCCTAATATTAAAGAATCTCTTTTTGTGCAGGCAAGGACATTCTTCAAAGATAAACATAGACTCGTTAACTAAAATGAATTCTGGTGAAGTCAAGCAAAAAACTTACACAGAAAAAAACACGCCACTGATGAGGACACCCGCTATGCTGCTACCCTGAAACCTAACTTGAATTACAAAACTACCCTTTTAATCTTCAGTGGTTCTTTGAAATAGGTATTTGTAAACCACATTACTTTCACTTTCTCAAGCAGATCAATTTTCAAATTTATATCCTTCACTGCAAAAGTCCATAAACCTACAGTTCATTCATAAAGCCTCCTCCGCTTTCACCTGATTTCAGTATGCCACACTCACCTGGAAAAAGCTGCAGGGGCTGTACGTCGGAGCTGTAGGACTAGCACAGCCAGTTGGAGGATCTATGTAGGCAGGTGGTGAACAACACTGCAGTGCAGCTGCAAGAATTCAAACACAGTTATCAGACTTCCAGAATTTGTGTTTGGTATGCAGAGTTCTGTTGCTTACTTTGATTAAACATTTCAATAATCACAGAGTAAAATAAATTCCAGAAATGTGTTATTACCTCCCAAGTGATTTTAAGACTGATTTCTTCATCGTAAAAAAGTATTTATTCTGATATATGTGTACATATATTAAAAATATATATTTTAAAATTGATATACACACACAGAGAAACTTTATGATCACAGTCTTTTGTATCTTAATATCACCTTTTTTTATCTGGCTGCTCGACTTTCTCCTCACAACATACCACAGAAAGTGGATTGACATAGGAAGAGCCTAGATGTTCACACACACACAGAGAAATTAAACAGTGATTCTATTATAAAAAGCAGCTTTGTAGATGAGGCAGTACTGCAGGTATTATTTTTTGGTGACACGCAGAGGTAATTTAAAAGTAAAGGCATTATTTGCAGGACAGATAATCTTTAAAATATGCAATCATTCTGAGAGAGAGAAAGAAATCCTTGATGAAATAAAATTTAGTCCAATGTTCATGATAAGTAAATGTAATGAGGATAACTTGAGATGGCAAACAGACCAGATTTATTTGCAATGCTTGACACTTACACGGAATTTCACAGGAGACAGTTACTATGATAATCAATATGGTTTTCTAATATCTATACCCATTGCCTTTTTTAATATGATGTTGCTGAATTTTTGTGCAGTTTGGAGCAACAAACATGGGGGCTAAACAACACAGAAAGAGCTAGTGGACATCCTTCTAAAGAAGCACAAGATATGTGTGTGACTCATGTTACTTCAAAAGCTAATTCTGAGCAATTTTATGATGAAATATGGAATCTTTCAGAAGAACATTCTATGACCTGTGAATATATTACAATTCTGGATATTTTCAAAAACATAAATGCTATCTGGGTTTCATTCACTGGAAAGTCCAAGTTATGTTTAGAAACCTAAGAAAGCTACCAAAGAAAACTTTTGAAGGGCTATTGTAAAAACAACACAAGAGAGCAATGACAAAGGTGAAATTTTTTGTAACCTGCTGGAGTGATTCGAAGGAAAAATAAATGCATATTACAAAGAATCTATTTTCTAAGAAAAGAAAAGGAAGCACCTGAAGGGGAAAAGTGCTTGTGAAATAGCAGGTAGGTGTAAAACATTAAGTCCAGATCACATGCTATAAAAAGCTACAAGTAAAATAAAAATGACAATATTCCTACAGTTAGTAGAGCTTATAGCCAAAGCAATTCATTAATCAAATGAATTGTTATGTTTGTAAATCAAAGGGAAGAGAACAAAAAACTGTATAGAAGTCTAGACTGTTGACCGATTCTGAATGGTTCTGAAATGCAGAATATTTCAGAAAAAGAATGGTTTGCACTCATAAGAACTTTTTTTTTGCCAGCTTATAGGCTATAGCAGTGACTGATCTAACAGCAAGAACAAATGCATCTCTGGAAATACCATGGGAGACACAAACATAGTCCTAATGGTAGTCAGTGAAGAAGCCAATCCACCATAAGATGGAGGCCAATTTTAGACAAGTTACACTCCTCGCCCATAGTCACAAAAGTGGAGTCACCATATATCCAAACAATTTTTTAAATAACACTGAAGAAGGTATTTACTGATGGGCAATGTTATCAAAGGCGAAGCTGTCCATTTACAATACTTCAAGTCTTCAAGCTGAACCAAGATTCAACAAACATACCTGCTTCACTCACATGCTTTTGTCCTACCCTGTTAATTGGAGAGAAGAAATTTCTAGGCTCTTTTGTCTAAGATATAGTTAATCTAGTCATACCCAGAAGAAATTACCAGCTAAAGCACATTCTGTTGCTGGCTGTTATGAAATAGCTGACAGTGAACACAATCTCATTTGAATACTAAGGAGACAGGGATGAATGGCATCTTACAGAATAAATGAATATTTACTGAATAAATTAAGAAAAAGATACAGCCCCTTCCATCAAACAACACGGATCAGCCTCAAAATAGATTTGGTTTCTGCCAAAAAAGAGACGCACTTTTGCCTAGAGAAGCTATGGATGGAAAATTTCACACACTCTTTAGGACACAATATGCGGAATATGAACACTGATTTATGCAAATTGAATTGTTGTCAGTGAGGCTATAACCAACCCAGCAACGGACCCCTGAGAATGAGCGGAGATCAAAGAGCACAGTTCACAGAAGGAGGAAAGGACTGAACACTCTGCATCGCAAATATTCTTGCACACAAGTCAAATGACCATATCTCAAACATGAAAAAATCTTTGGATATCCAAAGAGGCTGCAAGAAAATCAGGCAAAGAAATCAATACTTTTAAAAGAAGTTATTTAGAAGTATGTTAACAAAAAATTTATAAGCAAATACAAGTTATAAATCTGACAGTTGAATAAGAAAAATGAGAGGGAAATACCATGGAATAGTGAATTAGTTGACACTGGATAATATATAATGGGGAGGAGACAACAAGACATCTTTTTGTTTAAGAGAAGTCACCCTCCATTGCCCTCTTGAAAGACCTCCAGTAGGTAAACAAACACGGATAACTGACCTTGCTGTTATGATACTTAGATTTCCAAAAAGCTGTTAACAAAGTCATCATCAGAAACTTATGAAAACTGAGCAACAACAGCACAAGAGAGAAGGCTGCACATTTAAAAAATATTCTGTTTTAACGATACAACTCAGAAGATAGGAATAAATAGTCACTTTTTACATGTAAGTGAGGTCACCAGTGGAAGTCCCCAAGGACCTGCACTGGAACTCATGCTGCTCATCATTTTAATAAAGTACTTTAAAAATTGAGTGAGTGAGCAGTGAAGTGATACTTGCTGATAATGCCAGGTTATTCATGTCAGAAAAGAGCAGTCAGCTATGAAGATGTGGAAAAAAAAAAACCCAAAACCAGCCTTATGAGTTTCCCAAAGCCACCACCCACCAGATAAAGCTCTGCACTTAGGAAAAATAAACTAATTTCACACAGAAGAATGATGGTTTCTTATTCATCAATCAATAAGCAGGAACTAGACCTTTGTATTATGGTAGATAATTTCAGGCAGATACCAGCTTGACACTCAGCAGCTGTCAAAAAGACCTCCAAAGTCACAAATTAAACAATCAGATCATTAGGAAATAATACAAAATGGAACAGAGAATGAAACAGGAACATCATTACTCCACTGTATAAATCCATGATTCACCCATCACCGTGTATAGTTTTGGACTCAACATGCCAATAACAAAATAACAGAAGAGGATACAGGAAAGGCAACATGGATGATGTACAGAACACTTTCCTGAAGGAACAGCGAAGTGGGGCAGGACTCTCTGTTCTAGAGAAAACGCAACTGAAGGAATTAAGATAGAAGTATTTAAAATAGTGAACGGTGCAGGGAGGAGGATATGGATATAGACACATTTGCACAAAAACCAAACGCAGATTTAATGAATATGCAGTAGGGTCAAAAGAGACAAGAAAAGATGGCTCTTTGCACAAAATGCAATTAAGCTGTTAAATGAAGTCCTTGTCACAGATGTTGTCTATGCCACAAGTCTCCATTGGTTGGGAGAAACAGGCAAGTTCATGGAAGTGAAATGCACCGAGAGCTATGAACTACAACTCATGATATGGTTTATTAATTCCTGGGGCCCACATGGTTGGAGTATTTTGGAAAAGCATCAGTCCATGCTTGCTGTACTCCTGCACTCCTCCTTGGGCATTACTGTCAGGGGAAATGATGAGCTATATGCACATTTGGCCTGATCAAGGCCAATCTTCTTATCTCCAAAGCAGAGAACTATTCATTAGAGAATTATTGAGGCATTTGCTAAATCCTGTTTTAACATCACTGGAAAAATTGGATGAATTGTATAAAAATAAGCACATGAAATTCAGCTGGCGGGATGACAATATTAACGTCACATTTTTATATACATCTTCCACCTCTTGAGACAGTATTATTTTGTGGGCTCTCAGCGTTTCAATGGAGAAGAACAAATCAATCATAATCTTTGCTGAAGACATGAAGGCTACAGCTCTACCAGTGAACTAAATGCATCCAGATCCATTCTCTGGCACAGAGTCTGTTAATACTGTTAAAATCTCTCACTCTTCCAAGTCAAAACAGCCACATCCAAACAGCCTGTTGGGAACAGTCCCCAGTCCACGCCAACCGCTGAACTATGCACAGCACCTTTGGGGAGAGTGCTAACCAGGCTAACAACCTAACGATAGAGCTGATCAAGACACCCAGGCACTTTTCCTGGAAAAGTCTAATACAGTAGCATAGACACAGACAGCTATGCTTGAGCTCAGCCATGGTTTTAGCAAAGGTATATCTTGCCAAATGTATCTGAAGTTAGAAACTAAATGTAAATAAAAGCTAAGAACATCAAAAAAGCTCCGTGCTTACAGTTCAATGTGTACACATTTGTACTGCATGCTTTTTACAGGTTCCAATACTACATGCAAGCTCAGGAAAGATGAAAGCCCCAAAATAAATACAAACCCAATATGATCATCAGCAGATTATTTTCCAAGCTTGAACAACCACCATAATTTCTCCAAAGTTCTGTTGGAAACTGAAGGAATGCATGTATCATCTCTATGCATTCAAGATAGCAACAGACATCAGTTAGTGTTATTATCAGCTCAGCTGGGCCAAAGAGCACGAGACTGACACTCTCCAGCATCCTTCATTCCACCCGAGCACGCACTACATGGGAAATACCAAGGAAGAACCTTAAGACCATCCTTTCAGTGTGAACTTACCATGTCAGGTCCAAAAGTTAAGTCTAAGACAAGCTAGTTACTCATCAGACAACTGGGTCAACAGTACTCAAAGCTGTGCAGGAAATTAGGGAATGCAGCTGTGCCAGCTCCTGCTAGATCAATGAACACATTGGAATGGGTCTGAACATAAAAACTATGCAAGCTCCGATCCTTTACCAGCCAAAAGACTGATGAAAATGAAGATGATACCCAAGGTCTCTTCAATAAGGGAAAATAGGAAAGACAATGTTGTTTGAACTTAGACATTTAAGTGGGATTAACTGCCTTACTGGTACAGAGACTCCGAAGTCTAGCAGTTCTCGACTCTATGCAGAAAGAAATTAATTGTCTTCCAAAGGCATACGTCTAAGAAAGTTGGAATGACTCAACCTCTGGGAGGTGCCTGTTTCTCTCTACTGACTATATATGTAATCTAGATGACAAGCCCAGGCATATACAACGAACTATTATACATTCAGATGAATCTTAGGCAAGATGAATCCTACAACTAGTTTTACAAGTGCATTACTAATGCATCTAGTTTGCTTTTCTCAAGGGAAAATATGGTGCTATTCAGGCTGTGTTAAAACAGATGTTTTCAGCTGCTTATTTGTTTCAAGAATCCCCTTTTGACCATGTGAATTTTAAGCCTTCCATACAAAGAAGATGATTTATCTTAAAAGAGGGTGTATCATTCAGAATTACATGACTACTCTAAGCTACCACTCACCAGAAAGGTTATCATACGTAAATGAGTGCTACCGCCACAGATGTATTCAAAAGGCATGATTGGACTTGCAATGTCAGGTGGCACCAATAACTAACATTTCTCACATAGTGTCCTTGACCAATTTTTCATTATTAGGATACTCTCTGGTAATAAAGCTTCACTGCATTTCTTTGATGCAATCCTACTACTATCAAAGGTTTTGCAGATAGTTGAAAGCAAACAGAACTAAACCCTTAAAATAATTATGGTCTAATGCTAGCAGGAAAAAAACATCCACATGAGCATCTTTTATTTTACTGCCCTTTCCATTAAGAATCATAATGAAAAAACAGGGAAATCTTTTTGTCACTGAAGTTAACAAACAAGTTTGAATATACATAAAAAGAAATCTTTTGATAAAAGTTCTACTTTGATTTAATTTAATGGGACTTCAAATGTGAAATGAAAAGAGTCAAGAATAAGATTGAACATACATTCTTTAGTCCCCCCACTTATGAAATACATATTTTAAGATTAACTATCACTTTCCAAATAAGCTAATCTTGGTGCTGAGCTCTCAAGATGAAGGAAAGCAGAGTTTTTCATGTGGACACATGAAGAAATAAGCTTTCAGCATTCTGTATGTTATAATATAGAGAAGAAAGGATAGCGGAGAGATTAAGAGATACACAGGAACAGAAGTAAAAACACTGAGACAGTCCCAAGTGACAGCGAAAATTAAAAGATTCATAATACTCTCTAGTGAAATGTCAAACTCCTCTTCTCAGAAGTCCTAATGATTTCATTGGAGTTTTCACAAGCCTCAAATTCCGTAAGTTTCTCTATTTTAGTTTGAATTACACCTTAATTTTTCTACCTTGCCAAAACCTGGTATGCTTTCATCATGCTCTCTCCCTCTACCTCCCACCCCAGAAGATTTTACCTGTACAACATAGCCAATCTATTCTTTAAACTTTTACAACTCCAGGGAGAGAGAGTAGTGTCATCCAGTTAAAGAGATCTCCATATTCATGTCTAAATTTGCGCTAATCTCCCTCAACTCCTCTACAGTCAGTACTACAAAACAGGCACTTCCAGGACGTAAGCATCGCACCCCAAGACAAACTCTAAACCAAGCTACATGAATCACACCCTAGAGATGCCCATTTCCTTCCCTTGACTATAGAAGAGGTCTGGGGGACTAGTTGAGATACAGACATCTAAAATTCAGTATGATGAATTTCAGCCTCTGCTCTGCAACTGATAGAAACATGAAGTGGGGACCATCTCCCTCCTTAAGCAGGTATTCTGCAGGTATTCTGGAGGGGGCTTTGAGCAACCTGGTCTAGTGGAACATGTCCCTGCCAATGGCAGGGACGTTGGAACTAGATGATCTTTAAGGTCCCTTCCAACCCCAAGCCATTCTGTGATTCTATGATTCTCAGGACACCCTGCTCCTGGGAGGAGACCTAATATTTTGCAGCTGGTCATGCAGGCTCTAGCCACTGCAGTAATCTTTGTAAGTAGCACAGGGCAAGGAGCATATGGCAAAAGTGTCTTGTCTCTTAAACATCTAAGAGTGTTCACAAGAAATGTGGATGTCTGAAACATTCTCAGCAGAGGTCTCAGAAGACATGTACAAAAGACATGAAGATTTCACTGTGTACTTGGAGAAAGACAGCAGCCACCACATGTAGGATTTCTAAACAGAGATACCTAAGGGAGGAACAGGCAGAAGGAAAGAATAATAACTGAGCTTTCGTTTGTTCAAGGAAAGAGTCACTATGTTCGGAGTTTCAGAAGTTTTAGGGGAATTTAAAAACAAAAAAGGAAACAAACACACCACCCCTCCTAAAAAATAACCTAGTGTGTGATTTTTCAAATTCAAGGTGAGGGCAAGGAAAAGAATAATAATTTGCTTCACCTTCTCTTCTGAAGAATAAAACCACTTGTCTTAAGTGAGACTGAAAATTTTAGCAGAAACATTTTAGACAAGGAGTCACGACTTTTGTACTTTCTAGTCTTCAATCCATTAAAAAATACAACATGAAGAAGCTAAGCAAGAAAAAAAAATAAGATATTAAAATAGTATGAGCAGAATGAAATATTCTACACAATACTTTTGACTCATCTTTGACTTCAGAAACTTAACCTGGGAAAACATGAGACCGAGGACTAGTATACTACTTTTCAAAAAGTTCTCAGTGCTTTAGTATCATCGTCACAGTTTTGCTTAACTAGAAAAAATACGAAAGTTAGCCTAACACTGACTAGTTGTGGACAAATGTTTTTCTCCTCAGCCTTTAACTTCAACAGAGAGGCTATCTGGAAAATCACCAGAGGAAGCTCAAAATCTGGAGGAAGGACAGGAATACCAAACAGAAAATTTTTTTGCTTTAAAGGTCTCTCTTTCTTCTAGATTTTACACTTTCTACATAATTCTCACTTGAGATATACCCATGGCAGAGCATTGTAGAAAAATATTTAAAAGTATTGCATTTAAATATATTTTTGAAAAGTAAGTGCAGAAATTCTTTTCATACCTGTTGGATAGTAGGCTTGTGAGTACTGCACTGAAGATGTGTAGCTGCTGTATTTTGGAACGGAGGTGGCAATGGTTTGAGAGCCTTGATGAAGCGGCAGAAGAGAGAAAACAGGCTGGACTGTGTACGTGACCTCTGTTGGAGCCCTCCGGAGTACCGGAAAGGCAACCCCTTTACCCGGGAAAGTTGGGGAAGCCTCGTGCCCTGCAAGTAACCCAGGAGAACCATGCCACATTCTGGAAGGAACTGGAGTCCAATCTAAACTTTTTGTTGGTAAAGTGCTGTGGTTCTGGGATGAGGTTGACATGTATGAGTAAGGAAAGAAACCGTCTTGATGATAAGGTTGATGAAACTGTCCTACAGGCAGCAGTCCTGCAGTGGGTACAAAATAAAGTGAAACAAGTGTTAAGGAAACACGTTTTCACAGGCAATATGAGGAGCCAAGGCTCTACTACAACATTATTTAGGAAGACTACCTTTGCTCCAATACACTTAATCCAGAAACAGACTGTATTCTTACACCTGAATATACAGTAACTGCAGCAGCAGCATATTAGTGCAGCGCCAACACACAGTTGTCTGTGTACCATTCAATCTCCTTAAACTTGCAGTACCAAGTTATCAATGTTTAGAAATGTGCTATAAATCGAAATGCATAGTAACTTACTAAACCAAACAAAAGTAATTTAGAAAGTACTGTGTGTTAAATCAGACAGTTAAGTTAAAAAAAAAGAGGGAATCATAAAGCAAGACTTTACCAAACTCCAATGCTGACAGCTCATAGACAGCTAAGGGAAGGGCAATGTCAAAATCCTCTAAGCGACTTTGAAAGTAATTTGTCAAGAAAAAAAATTCAAAGCCAACTTTTTTCCAGTCAGCTCAACTAGTTCAGTTTAGACTAAAATATCCCAAACTTTGCCATTCTGCCATTCTGTTATTATTAAAAATTTAATAATTAT